GATAATTCTGATAATTTGGAAAAAGTACGAATTGAGTGAAAAACTATAATTCAAAAATGTATATTACCTAAATTCTACTAACCAGAAATCTCTATTAACTGGCACTTCAGCACTTCTCAAGTTCAATGATAATTAATTTTTATACTCAGAAGCACTACGAAATGTTCTTGTTAATTAAATTTAATTATAATCCAATTATTTAAACTTAGAAATACATTCCAAACAAGATGAAAACACTGTACATGGAAAAGAATAAATTTCAGTTTGAATCTCAGCTTGAACACCATCAGACTCTGTGGCCTTTGGCAGTACAGTTTTATTTCTCTGATTTGAAGTTTTCTCATGTATAAAATGGTAATATCAGCACTAGTCTTGCCTACCCATAATGGTTGCTTTAACATCAAATGAAACAATGGGCATAAACGTATTTTGTAAACTCTGAAAAACCATGCAAATGTGCATGAAGTAATCATAACAATCAGAGTTTAACTAGAGCACTGAATTGCTTAACTTATTCTATGTATACAAAAGTAATATCATTTAGTGATCTCACTATTTTTAAATGCTCTACAAGTTCAAAGGTGATTATATGCCAAGGAAAGTGCGATCTTATAAGAAATCAGTAATATATGGACTAAGTCACTCTCCACCACCTAACTCATTTATCAAAGCTTTTCCAGACAGTATATTAAGCAACTAACACTGGCAGCAACTAAGTCAAAAGCAATCACCTACCATTTCCCCTTTTTCTATCCCTACTACTCTCTTTATGGTAGTTGACTGACAAGGGGGGAAAGCAATTTCATATATATATATATATAAATGTTAGAATTTGGTTCCTCTGTCTCTGATTTCATTTAACAGCAGCTACTGATTTTTGAAAAACTATGTATCAGACAATATGTAGGTGGTGACAGACTTTATTTCATTTTAACTCTCAAAACGAACCTTCCAAATTTTACTGTTATCTTGATTATACCAGGAATCATGGAAAGATTTGTATTATCTTTTAATTCCATTTTTCCACAAATTTTTTGAAGTAGCCCTGTATAGATGGAAAAAAAACTGAGGTCAAAACCAGGAAAGAATTCCACACTGTCATATATTAAATAAGTCATAACATCATATAATTTTATTATGCTAATCACCAGTTGCTCTTCTCAGTCACTTCTTTTTTTTTTTGAACAAAAGTGCCTTAAGAGACAGATAACCTAATAGAAAAAGAACCAAGAGACTTGAACAGGCACTTCACAAAAGAAGATATCCAAATGGCCAATAAATGTATGAAAAGGTACTCGACACCATCAGTCACCAGGGAAATGGAAGTAAAACCATTTTGGGATATTTCTACACACTTGCCAGACTGGCTAAAATGAGAAAGGTACCAAGTCTAGGTGAGTCACTGCTGATGGGAGTGTCCATTGATTGAATGCTTTGGAAACGTGATTACCAGAATTTACCTAAGCTGAATATATTCATACCCTATGATTTGGCAATCTCATTCCTAAATTTACAGCCAACATAAATGCATACATAAACATTCACAATATGGCATCCCATAGCTGTTTAAAACAGGACTATTTATAATAGCTCCAAACTGGAAACTACCCAAATGCCCACCAATAGTAGAATAGATAATTAAATCACGGTATTCTCACATAATAGGATACTATACAGCCACGAGAATAAGCAAGCTGCAACGACAGCTCCATGCAACCACGTGGATTCATCTCACAAAGAAAGTGTGTATCCTATATAAGTCCATTTGTATAAAATTCAGAAGGAAGAAAAACGAATCCGTGATGTTAGAAGTCAGATTAGTGGGTACACTGGGGGAGAGAGGTGCAATTGGAGGAAGTATAAGGGTGCTGACCATACTTGCTTTCTTGATTTGGGTGTTGGTTACACAGGCATGTTCGCCTTGAGAACATCCCTCCAGCTCAATAATGAACAATTTCTGCACTCACTTTTCCACTTGTGTGTTATAATTCAATAAAATAGTTATCATCAGTCTCCGTTCCCCAAAGCATCCCAATGTCAATACTTTAGAAGTGTTTTACAGAAATGCACACAGAGCTTACTATGTTTATATATCCCTTTAAATATGAGTATTTATTCAGCTGACAGATTTTCATGTCATTTAATAAAATAGCAAGGCAGTTTAGGTAAACATAGGACTTATTTCTGAGTTATAAGGCTGGGTTCTTATAAAATAATTGTTAGGTATAAACACAGTAATGAGGACTAGGTCTTGAAAATAAACAGTAGTGTTGAAAAGGGAGGCTTATGCACTGAGTCTTATGGAGAAAAACAGGGCTACAGCTGCTCACAGAACAGTTTTTGAATATGAAGGCAATGTTGAACAGGTATGGAGGGAGTCTGATAAAAGCAACAGCTATGAAAGGTAAAAACCTGGAATGAAGAACTATGGCATACGCACACAACTTTCATTGAAACCCACATAACTTTCACATTCTTTCTTTCTTCAGACAACATTAGAGCAGGAGGAATCCTTAAGAAAGCTGTCAAACTGGGAAAAGAAAGGTATAGCTTTCATTGAAACCCACGTAACTTTCACATTCTTTCTTTCTTGAGACAACATTAGAGCAGGAGGAATCCTTAAGAAAGCTGTCAAACTGGGAAAAGAAAGGTATAAGAACTAGTGCAGGACACACACAAGGGTACTTCAAAAAGTTTGAGGAAGGATTTGTATTATCTTTTCATTTTATTTTTCCATGAACTTTTTGAAGTATCCTTGTATGTCAATTGATTTCTATATGACACCTAACATATATACCCTATATATAAGTATATCTAATAGGTATCTAACACATATACGTACGTATTTACAATTTGGAACTTAGTACTGGTTTGATCTGAATTATCATTGTCATCCCCCCAAATTAACAATAGATTGGAGAAAGGCCACCAGGACCATCCATCTGAGGCCACAAGGCCCTACCCACTAGTGCTACACAGGGGAGTGGGCTGCCCTGTGTCGTGTTGTTGACCTGGCTATTCAGTGAGTAATTTCATACTGTCATCTGCTTTGCAGGCAAATTAGAGGTCTCACTCACAGATATATGCATAGTGGGTTCTTTTTCTCCAAAGAAATGAAGTATGTTTCAGGTTTTACATGCCCACAGGTCTGAGCTGCCCATCTATAAAGATAACTGCAATTCATATATCAAACTGTCAAAGAGGTTAAAACAGCATGCAGCAGGTGGGCTATAGGTTAGAGTTCCCAAGAGATAAATGTTCTAAAATAAAGGAAAATTTATTACTACTGACCAAGGCATATGAATTTCTTTTACCTTTAAAATACATTTGTGCTATATATTTTGGGTATATAAAATACAAAAATACAGGGTAAAAAAGTACAAGAATTAGCAGACGAACCAAATCTCCATATCATTCAGTCAAGACTTTCAAAAATACAGATTATGCTGTCTCTTCTTTCTATTTACTTATATGTTCAATGTTAGGAAAATAAGTAGGATAAAAATTATTGCTTTGTTTGAGGCCTTATTTCAGAGTTCCTCTATTTAATAGGCATACATGACCACAGATTTCTTCTAATTCACCATACAAGAATAAACAGAAATACATAAAGCAATAAAATTCTGTCTTCATTATTCTATAAAAATACAGATTTTTAATTTCAAATTATTTTAATTTTTAATTCAATATTTTGTTTATGTAGATAATTTTACACTCTAAAAAGTTTGTAACACATTCCCAAATCTTATTAAAAAGCAATTTTTTTTTTCTATTGGAAAAAAACCATGTATCCCTGCAGATGTCGTCTTTAGAAATCTTGACTGGCTACCTCACTACCACATTACTCCTGACATGTCAACTGTTGCATTCAAAAGACAAATAGCACCACATATATAACAATTACAAAACCCTTTCAATTAAAGGGGCACTTAATGCTTTTAATTATTTAATAAAATTAAATATTCTCTTTAAGATTTGCTAGGAGTAGAGTTATCCCTTTCCCACTCTCCCACCCCCAGTCTCCAACTTTATTATTTAGATCACATCAGATTTTGACCTTGTTTGTCCTGGAAGTCTCACATATAGCCCTTCTGGTGGCCAATTTTCCAAGGTCACAGATTTCTTTACATTATATCCTTAAGGTATTGTTCAGCTTTCTTTGTCAATTTCCTATTTGTTTTGCAGCCAGGCATCTCAAAGCAGTGTTAAGCCATTCAGCACTGCAGTTTGGCCAGCCTGCATAAACCTCCTGTTCTCTTTCACATCACTCCCTGAAAATAAAGCGGCAAGCACTTGCTTGGAGCTTGTCGGCGAGCGTGCTGCAGAGCATATTTCAATTAGCATCCAATCATTTTAAGTAGTGATACTCCAGTACTTGTGTGAGCCTGACTTGTAGAATTTAATACTCAGACAGCCATTTTGCAAAACACAGCAGGTCTATGAAATAAGGGCTATTTCAGTGAAAAAGTCACAGGATGAAAAAGCTGTTGTAAAGGCTGGCGTTGCTCCAACAGCTGTGTCATCCATCAAACGATTACCATCTACTATTTTTCTGAAGCTGTTCAAAAAAGGATTTAGCATCAGCCTCTGTGGCTATCATTAATTTGACAAACTCTGTGGCATTTTTCTCTAGAAATGATTTTTTTCCATGCCATAATTCAGAGATGAAAACAAGACCACTTTAAGAGGTAAAAGAGAATATCAACTGGTTTGAACTGATACAGATCTCTGAGACAACAGACTTCCCAAACAAATCCCTGTGCAAGTGATTTCCAACCTCATCAAAGTAACGTGGCACAAAAGAGATATAAAAACATCTCTGGAAAAAATCTCAGAAGCTCATGTGCCTCAGGTGCCTTGAAAACTCGTGGCACCAAATGACGGATTGTCTGGTTGGTTCAGCACAGGGATTCAAAACACCTGAAAGAGGCAACATGCACCAGACAGACACGAATTGTATTTTCAGCTCCTAGCCGTAATTGACAGCAAGAGAAACTTACATAGGACACCCGTACTCGCCGGCGATGCACCAGCCCGCAGCACTGCATGAAGAGGGGGCAGAACGCAGTCAGCGCGTGGCTTCACCGAGCTGCTCTGTGCCTTTTCTTCTTGTCACAGCTACTGTCCATTTCTTCCCACCTTCTACTTCCAGGTAAGAGGCACTGATGGGCAAGTCAACACTTAGCTTCTGCCTCCTAGGTAGTTTCTGACAAAAACCACCGTTCCTGCAGGCATGCCAAAACTTTGTTCTCCCTGTTTCTTTTTTGTCGGGTGATTTGAGATCTTCTTCTTCACAGGGTTGCCTTTTTGCAAAAATCTACAAAAAGTAGCATTTATTTTCCTGAAGGAACTATTATTGCTAACACATAGTTATGACTGTCCAAATCATTGGAGTTTCTTGGCAACGTTTTTACAGGAGCCATTCTCAACTCAGGAGGTTTTCAAACATCAGAGAATCTTGCATTTCACGACCCTGCAGTATTCTGCTTTTGAAACGAGGAGGCCTACTCCTGCTGCTGTTTATGTGACTGCTTCTGAGAACGCTGCTGCTCTCGCGGCTGCTAGGCTATTCGTGCCTTCCTCTCAAGGCACAGACTGGTAACAGCATCCTTGATTCAGTGTTACCTCTGTAACATTTTGGGCATATCTGATTTGCTATTTCCCTCTCCTCCTCTCACCCTGAAAAATGACTGAGTCGAGACTTTAATTCACTCTGGATTCCTAGCACTACAGAATCACCCTCCAAATTGTCAGATGCTCTGTCCTGCAGTATGTATTTCACATGAATTCTAAGAAGCATTGCTGGAGTGGCCTCAGGACCTGACTCACTCAACCACTACGACTGCACAGCTTTTTGTGCTCACTGCCAAATATTCATTTTCTACGTTAAAGCACATTTAATAAACATAACTCTGGCAAGCGAATTTGATCAAAGTCGGACGTCATTGCTAATTAGATAATATATCACCTATGATTTAGACACAGTAAACTAAATAAGTCAACCTTGAAAGCCCGAGAGCTTACAAATCAATACTCCTCGTGTGCTGTTATTTACATCATTCCCTAAAGACACAGTTTTGAGACTGAGCTGACCCTAACATTTGTCCCAAAAGGCCTTGTACATGTCACACCTAAAAAGATGAATCATTAAGGCATTTGGGGATCCAACTATTAATCTGTATGATACGAACCATTCTAATAAGCAATGATTCACCTAACCTTTTAGTGTGTGATAGCTACTGATCCAAATTTGCCCCCACGCCCAGTTCACTCCATATACTGTTGCCACTTAAGAAGGCATAGTAATTATTTCATGTCACAGATTGAAATCAACCACCATTATGCTCTTTAGTCCCATGGAAAATGAAAGCCTATTAATTCTCAACACTTTACCAATATTTTAAAAAATCTATGATTTAATGTAACAACTATATTAATATTAATAGTCTAATTGGCTATTAGAGCTGAAGACACTTCCTGCCTTAGTTCAATCTTTTTATTTGACTGATAAAGTAACTGAGGCCCAAAATGGTTAAGTGTTTTGTCTATTAGTAATATAATCAATAGTACAAGTAACACCCATAATTTATAGAATTTGAATAATCTGTAGAAATTCTATGGCTTTATCATATACTAATTAATCCTCCATGTATTTGAAGATCCAAAAGGGAAATAGTAGATAAAAGATAGACAGGAAAGAAGGATATTTTTGTGATTCAATCAGAAACCTAGAGTAAAAGAAAATTTCTGAATTACACTGCAAATTGGCTATTGAAGTAAGTCTTGGAAAAAACTCAACATTTTCTGGACTATACAAGATATATTCCAAGTACGTAGGATTTCAATTTGAATTTTTAAAGAAACTTTTGTGAAAAAATATAGTAAATAATACAAGAGAACACAAAATTCAAATTCAAGTTTTTTCTTAAGGCCTCTTTATTGCCTCAACTACCACACAATTACAAGGATAACTGAACAGAAATAAGGAATAAAAATTACCTCAGTTAGAATGAGATGGAAACACTGGGGAAATGATCTATCTCTTCTATGATTTTGAATTTGATTTGAAATTCACTGAGCTTTTTGTCAACTATGATATTTTTATACACAATATGAGATAGATTCCCCAGGTCATTAGAGATTCTACCCACCTTGTCATTTGAGAATCCCCGAAAGGATGCCAAGCACTAACTAATTTGACTCAGCAAACATTTATTGAGCACCTTCTATTTGCTCAGCACTGTGCTGAGGGGCTGGGGACGAGAAATGAATAAAATACAGTCCACATATGCCTGTAAGCACTTGTGACACAACAGAGGAAAGAGAACACAGTGTCTAAGTGCATGGGAACACCGAGAACTTAACTCCTCACTGTCCCTGGGAGGAACACTGAAGACTTCACAAAAGTTGGGGACATCTGGGCTAGCCTTTGCAGAATGGGTAGAATTGCATCCAGTGGAGAATGGGGACAGAAAGAGTCCCAGGCAACAGGGCAACAAATGCAGAGAAACAGAAGATGACACACAGCATAGACACAGAATAAATTCTGTTTATATAGAATGTGCAAGAAGATTGTACAGAGATTAAAAGTTCATGGTACGTTCAGACAACAGGGTTATACCCAAAGTCCTCAAACTAAACCGAGTTCTCCCCCAAATTCATTCTTTATTATCTCTCTATCCCTATCACTTAGCACAATAACCGACACATGTAGGCATGACAACGTTTCATAGTTGTCCCCTCATTACCCATTCTCTCCCTCTTCTATAGTAACAGAAGTGGACACTGACTGCTGGATTAAGGCAGATATTCCAGCCACCCTTGCAACTTGGATGACTCTGTGACTAGATTCTGACCAATGGGACAGAAGCAGAAATGGCTTGTGCCAACACCCTAGTCAAGTCCTCAGACAGAATGGAGCATGTCTCCCCCAGTTCTTCTTCCCTTTCTTCGTAACAGAAGTGGACACTGACTGCTGGATTAAGGAAGATATTCCAGCCACCCTTGCAACTTGGATGACTCTGTGACTAGATTCTGACCAATGGGACAGAAGCAGAAATGGCTTGTGCCATCACCCTAGTCAAGTCCTCAGACAGAATGGAGCATGTCTCCCCCAGTTCTTCTTCCCTTTCTTGCTGGCCTGAGAGCTGGGATAGCATTTATGATGAGAAGAAAACTGCACACTCAGGACAGAGCAACAAGATAGAGCCTGCATCAGCCCTACTGTGCTTCAGTGGGCACTGTAACACGAAAGGGAAATAAAGTCCTATGCTCTTGACGTAGCTTTTATGTTAACCTCAGTTATAGAAGCCACGCCTGTATTTTAAAAGTATCCCAAAATATTTCTCAAGTGAATAATTAATTCACAGAATTTAAGTCTGTGGAGGAGGTGGGAGAGTAAGACAGGGGAAAGAGAAAAGAGAAGAGTGCACCGGAGGATCAGGAGCCCGGGCTGGGACGAGGCTGTGAATCACCCTAAACACCATGGCCAAGAGTTTCATGCTTACCTGGTAGGACATATAGAATTAATGGAGCTTTTAAATGAGAGAATACCTGTTGTTGTATTAAGGAGTAGGAAACAATCTCCAGACTGTTTGGTCTAAAAGAAATGGTCAAATAGTTCCATCTCAGTAAGAAATTTGAAGCTTTTGAGCTTCTATACTTGGCTGTAATAAATGTCCAACTACTCAATAATCAAATCAAATAAAGTCAATAAAACCAGCTACTTGGTTCATATATCTAAATTACAAACCTAAGGGCAGGCTCGTGGCTCACTTGGGAGAGTGTGGTGCTGATAACCCCAAGGCCACGGGTTCGGATCCCTATATAGGGATGTCTGGTTAGCTCACTGGGGAGAGCGTGGTGCTGACAACACCAAGTCAAGGGTTAGGATCCCCTTACCAGTCATCTTTTTTTTTAAAAAAAAGTTAAAATTAAAAAAAAATAATAAATAAATAAGTAAATGACAAACCTAATGAATTATTAAATTAGCTATTTTTTTCTAATATATATTCAAAGTAAACTATTGAAAAACAACAATGAGAGGTAGGAGGACAAAACCAACAAATTAAAAATAATCACAGAGAAATGTGTATGATGTCACTGCCAGGTATTTTTTTAAAAGTCCAGGAGATTTATTTCTGGGCAGCGTTTATAAAGCATGAGAATTCGGGTTTCATTACTGTTCACTTTCTACATTACTGTTAGGAGAGATAAAGCACACAGTGGAGGTTAAGCACTGGATAAAGTGCTTCTTCTTAGAAGGAAACTTTTTGATAATAAGGAATAAAACGAGATCTAGAGGAGCCTTCTCTAGTGGCACTGAAGGTTTCTTGTTGGGGCTGGCTCTGCTGGAGTGCTTCTGGCTTTTTTTGTGGCTGTGGCTTCAGGAAAGAAGCATCCCTCCCTCAACAGACACTCCAGCCCACTCATAAGACTCTGCCTTTATAGTATGTTGTTGTAACTGCAGCCACGCAGAGCCTAGTGTTCCTAAAGCTCCCAAAACACATCTTTGGTAATTTCAGTAAAAACAAAAAAATAATAAACTGTCTATATCCATCGATTCAGTCCACAATCTCAGTGGAGCACTGCTCACCAGAGCATGTCTGTGTTGGCCACCAGTAGTAGAAGGGCAAGTAAATAACCACGGTCCTTGACTTCAGGGAGTGCAAAATCCAGGGGCAAGACAATTTGAACCAAATGATCACACAGACATGTAATTGCAAACTGATATGTTCTTTGAATGAAAGTACAGAATTTCATGGAAATGTGGAGCAGGTTGACATCTCTAGGATTAGAAGAGTCAGAAGAGGAGTCTCTGGAGAAGGACTATTTGAGCTAAGAGGTCTGAATGTGAGAAGGAAATAATGAAATGTAGGGAAGATGAGGAAGGGAGAGGGAATATAGCAGCCCTTCCGAATGGAAGGAAAATTCTTTGCAGAGGTCTTTGTGGCGGAAGGGAGGATGCTGTGTAAGCAGCTGGAGCATCAAGTAAGTAATAAACTGTCTATATCCATCCATTCAGTCCACAATCTCAGTGGAGCACTGCTCACCAGAGCATGTCTGTGTTGGCCACCAGTAGTAGAAGGGCAAGTAAATAACCACGGTCCTTGACACCAGGGAGTGCAAAATCCAGGGGCAAGACAATTTGAACTAAATGATCACACAGACATGTAATTGCAAACTGATATGTTCTTTGAATGAAAGTACAGAATT